GTTTAGACAGTGTTTATCTGTCTCCCCCATTGCAGCACAACCAAGGCAGAATACCAATTCTGCGCCCAGATTGTCACAATCCCTTCTGATTTCTTGAATTGGAATAATCATAGGAATATTCAGACTTCCCTGAAAGTTTCCCCCCCCCCTCCATTCTTTCCCTATATTTCAGTGACAATAACGGCTGCAAGGAATCCAAGTGCTTTTAATCCACGTTTCTAAGCAGGACACGACCATAGTAACAATTTCTTTCTTATATATTGTAGTCGTATGACCAGTAGCACTAGTTGTGGGATGAAGATTGAGGAGATCCAAGTTTATGGAAGTTCAGTTGAATCAGCCATTTGTCTCTTGGCCATCTATCTCCCAGGGTTTTGGTTAAGGAAGTAAACAGGAAGAATAACACATTGTCTACTCAATGCAATGAGCTCCTACTAGACTGTCAGGACATAAAACTAATAAGTAACCACAGGTAGCTTTACCCTATAGACAAACCTATTTGTCTTTTAAAACTTTCAGTGTGGTGATAATTACTTCATTGTAGTACAGTGAATTCCATAGCTTAATTATATGTTATGTGAAGAGAATATAACATACACAAACATCTACGCTGTATCTATTTTTCTTCCACTTGGAACAGATAAATTGACATCCAGGAGGAAATCTGGGTGACAACGTACTATGCTCCCTGTTTAATAGTGTTGCATATAACCGGAATCTAAGAAAAGTTAGTTGGAAGTTTAGTATCCAGATTTATTATGTCCCCTTTTAGAATGGCATAGGGCCTTTCTCTATTACTACCTTAAAGTCCCATCCACTCCTCTTTGCACAAAACCAAGGTGACACAAAATTGGTTGTCCCTGTTGCTAATCCCTATCCTGCCAAATGACATTGTCCTGATCTGTGAGACATCATTCATTTACAGATAAGGTTTGTCTCTTCTGGATTGGCAGCCCTCCCCTTTCAGCACCCCATCAGCCAGGGAAGGAGGCATTCATCACTGGGGCACTGTACTATGAGCAGAGCAGGGTTGACTTCAGAGCTCTGCCTGGGCTTCTCCAGGCAGATTTGACAGCCCTACATCCTACTTAGAGATCTTTCAAGTTAAAACAAAGTGAAGTAAACTAGCATAGGGGAAAACATTTCTGCCAAGTGTTTCTCAAATTGACTAGCTGCTAGATAGTCCTGACTCTTTTTTTTGGTAAGGGGAATAGGATTGAATCTGACACTTATAAGGGATCTGGAAGGTATGCGTTAAAATTTCAGTTCAATGTTCTCCATTATTTTCTGGAAATTGTAACAAAGCAAAATAAGGGAAGGCTAATATATCTTCAAGCACTGTTAATATGGAATTGTATAAATGCATCCCCTTCTTCCCCTAACAAAACAGGAATATGGTGTCCTCCTCACTTCTATATTGTAGGAAGCCTACAAACAAGTTGGTTTCAAAAGCATCTCAGTGTGTGTTGTGTGGGTCATATGTTCATCCAAAATGCACATCTGATCACAATGACTGTAGGTCAACTGACATTGTCCCCCAGATAATAAGTTGGGAAGTATCACAAATTATATATCTTGAAGCTTTGATGTAAAAGTGTCACCTTAAGGATGAAAAGACCACACTATGTGATCAACTGGAGAGATGGAAGTCATCAGGGCATGATAGTGACACCATAAACTGCAGATAAGGACAGGACAATCTGTTTGATATTTTTAATAATTGCCAGGAAAGTATGGCATCAAATGACAAAAATAATAATAATGAAATATTTATGGCAGTGAAAAACCAGGCTTCACTATGTTGAAAGCACAGCTCATGAACTAAAGGAGATTCCTTATTGAGTTTTTGTATGATTCTTTCTTTCTTTCTTTCTTTCTTTCTTTCTTTCTTTCTTTCTTTCTTTCTTTCTTTCTTTCTTTCTTTCTTTCTTTCTTTACTATTTTATACTAGAATTTTTAATTGTACATTTATTGAGTGTTTTTATTTGTTCTGGTCTCTGGTCTATAACAGTAATAAACTGAACTGAATTGAATTGATACTTCAGAAAAATATTGTTCAAGCCCAAACAGAGGTAAACTAAGTCAGAAGAGAATGGTGCTATCCCTTTGCATAAGTCTTGCTCTAGATTTAGGGTTAGGAAATAAAGTTCATATTTTCAGCATATGTTATTTTTACTGACTTAATTTATATTTTGATACATTTTTGATATTACTTGCAATGATTGCAAAATTCAAGGGACATTAAGTCAATGGCACCTCAAAAATACAAATAATAATCTCACAGATTATTTTCTCCTCCCTTAAATTAATTGATCACTATGAATAGGCACTGTGTGTTTGGGGGCCCTCAGAAAAGACAGCAGAATAGAAAGTTCCATTCTATTAGTTTAACTCTAGATTTTTTTGTTTAAGTGCTTCCAGGCCAACCCTATCATTAAGTAGAGAGAAGTACAAATTTTGAAGGCAGCAGATGGCCAATTAGTAAATTTATACTGCTATGGAACTTTTTTTCATCTTAAGAACGTGAAAGTCTTGGGAAGGTCATTCCTGAAGCTTATTTTGATATGATTGTTTAATAAACTGATTTTTTTTCTTATTTTCTTTTAAAAAATTGATGGCACAGGGAAGCTCTTGAACTGGGTCTCTGAGAGTAGAGTTGGGGTAATATTTCTCCCCGTGGCATTCTCTTTCGCTGAATTACCGTATTTCTCCTGACTTTAGCACAAATCGAGTTTTGTCTCATCACTTCCACAGGCTGGCATATTCATTTTTTTTTACCATTTTATTTATTAGATTTTTTTTTATCCTGCCTTTCTTACCTTATAAGTAAGTACTCAAGATACATACTATTCCTTCCTCCTCCTATTTTATCCACAACAACAGCAATCCTGTGAGGTGGTTTGGGCTGAGAGAAACAGTTTGGCCCAAATGCCCTATAATGTCAAGACAAAATGTATGATATACTCTGCCCTTGATATTCCATTTATTTGTAACAACTGAACTTGGGTTTGATAGATATTGATAGATATTTGATAGGAGGTTGTTTATTTTCAAGTTATCTGCTGCATCTGAACAATTCCAATTATTCTATAAAATCATAATCACCTAATATTTTTAAAAATAATAATAATAATTTTGACTAGGTCACCATACTTCTAATAATAAAACAACAAAATATGGACCATATACAGCTCTTTTAGCTGCTACAGACGTTTGTCCTTAGAGAATGAATACAGTTCAACCTGTAGAGATTGGTAGTTTCATGCTTTACTGAAATTATTTTTATTTCTATTAGGTCATGTGCAGCAAAAACAGTAGGATATACTGTGACACCTTAAGGTTATTTATCGTTTCATAAGCTTTCCTGTCCTCTAGATTGGAGCAGAGTGTGATAGTTCTGGGAAAGGAAACTTATAAATGCTCAAGGTTGTTGCTGGAGAGGAAGAAGAGAGAAAATGGGAGTGGGGAAAAGAAAGATAAGAAACTAAGAGACAGATTATTTGTTTCCTATTGTATTTATTTAATGATTTATTTAATCACACTCTGAAGCAATGTTGTCTCTCCACTTCTTATCTTTCCTCTCACCACTCATACACACTTTGGAGAATTCTTCTAGCTAAGGACAATTCCTGTGCCTGCCTAAATAGACCAGCTGAGACACCCTTACTACTACGTGTAAGATGGAAGGGGAACCACCCCCATCCTTGGGCCAAAGTGTCCTCCATTAATAATGAATATGTAGGAGAACTGGTTAAATACATGAGTAATAATCACATGGATTCTATTTCATCTTATTAAGAATAAATCTTGCTTTTCTGCTCACATTTTTGAGCAGAAGCTTTCAAATGAAGTTTGTGCATGCTTCAGTTTGAAAAGGATTGGGTTATCTACTTACTTTTGTATTACAAGGTAAATTACGCAGCATAGTACCCATGATATCATGACTATTAAGGGGTTTGGAACTATGAAGGAGCAGCTGCATTTTAGTTTAACTATTACAGAAAAAAAAAGGCAAACGATTTTCATGTTTTCAAGCACTTTTTTTTGCTGAATA